AACAAAAAAAAGAACGAATAACAAAACTTCACTCTTTTTCGTCTAACTTTCAGTTTTGACACTAGTGCTTTTTCTACAGTCGATATATATGCCAAATAAAAACTGTTGCAAACGTTGGCACACATCTGGTTCGTCTGATTTGATTTATTGATTTGTTTTTTTTTGTTACCGTCGGATCTATTGTGTAAGTTCACAAATCTTTCATTTCAATGGTTGAGTGCGACAAATTTCTATCTACTATCTTATGCATACATATATCAAGGTCAATTTTTCCATTTTCTATCTTGAGCGTGAGTTAATAAGATTTTGCCATTTCTTTTATCTTGTTCTAGTGTTTAAATAACACTCCATGAGAGAACCAACGAGCCGTGATACTGATCAAAATTTAAATATTTGATTTTTTTTTCATGCATATTCGAAAGATCATCATCTGAAATCACCAAATCCCAATTTTCATTTCATTTGGATGTTCTACAGTAGAGTTAGTCTTGATCAAGTTTTCAGTAATATTCACCTACTATCAAGAAAATAGTTAAAGTTGTCTCATAAATGTCCTCTGCAAAGATACTTTAATAAGTCAAAGAAAGTTTTAAGGTCATATTATGAATGGAAAAGTTGCCAATTAATCAGTGTATAACGTTCGATTATTTTCTTATTTGCGATTTATTAAACTCTCTTCTAATGATAGGACCTTTAGAAATATAGTACTGATTACGAGTAACCTATGCAAAATGAAAAGCAATTAAAGCAAAGCACAAATATAAAGTACATAAAACTAGGAGCAACGGCTTGCATAGTCGAACTGTCTTGGTATGCAAGCAGAATATATAGACCATCAACGAACGAATAGTTTGAAATGTGTAGAACAGAATTATACAAACATGGTGCTGTGGAAGATAAGGCTCGAACATGATGCTGATTCTCTAGAAACGAGCACGTGTCATCCTCTCTCAGCTCAGTAAAAGAATAAATCTAGATATAAAGAAGAAATATGACCAATTAGCTTGATCGATTCTCATCTTTTTGTTTTCATGAAAATGAAGTAAATTACTGATATGATTTGTTAAGTATCATGTTTTATCTATTACCACTAAGAACAAAGTCATTTTATTGGTTCTTTTCTTATAAAATTTGAATGTATGTTATTCAATAAATTCAATTTTGAATGATACTGATTAATAACCTATTTATAACTAACATCAACAAAAACGATCCATGAAAATTCTTTGATTCTTTAGAAGAATTATTTTTTCAATGAATTTTCTTCTCATAAATTTATGCTCAAATATTGGCTCTTGCTGCAGATCATATCTAATTAAAGTCCATTAGTTAATTTATTTAAATATAGTGAGGAAAAAATGTTCTAATCTTATAATGCACAAGTTAAAGAATTTCAAAACAGATTTTATGTGACAAAGAATATTTTAGGTGAAGTTTGCAGCATGATCAGACTACAAAAACAAAGCAAATTGCCTTCTTCAAGTGGATTTTCAAGATCTTCCATAATGATTTGTATCATTTAGAACCATTTCTTGAAAATCTCATTCAATTACAAGAAAATTTCTGTTCTACACTCGTATGTACTCGTTTTAATAACAATGAATAAACATAGTCTTGGTTCTAGATTAAAAAACGTAAGAAAATATGAATAATATCATTTTTACTTAAGATATGTTTTGTTATTCACTTGTCTTGTATTACATATCGAAATCCTGTTATAAACTACATGAATTGAGTTAAAAAGCCCAACTTATCCTAACCGATGAGAATTGATAGTGTTGTGGATGTAAGTTTTCGCTTGAGCTACGTTTTCACATCTAGTGTCTAGTTCATTTTTTCTCCATGCATGAAAAACATATAAACGCAGCCAATCTGATTCTGTCTTTGACGTTTCTATTGAATATACGTTATAGTTATGTAATTATACATAAAAAATGAATGAATAGTGAAAATATTTGCATTTCATAAACTATTTCACAACAAAGCAAATTTTTGATAAACAAATAATATTTATAATTATTAAATGAATTCTAGTTATGATAAAATACTCTGACTGATGCTCTCTGTGTATTCTTTGATGATGATTTGCCAACAATATTGTCTTTCAGACAAAATATACATACGATAATCAACAAATACTTACATAATACACAAAAGAACTATATACGCTTTCTTTTCTGTCTCTCTCTCTTCATCAGTGATAGAAGAACAAACAAAAATAACCTTGGAGTTGCTTAGACCAATAACAACGTCTTGTGTGTCATGCTATTAATGACCAAAGAAAGAAAGATAAGAATACGTTTTGAAATTTTTCTGCATGAATTTAGTATGGTATGCGTATTTTGACTGTAATGTAAGTTTGTCTTGTTTCAAGAGATTTTAGGACGTGTGATGAATCATCACATACGAATACATAGATACTATCATAAAGAATAGTTCATCTCAGCTCGTTTACTAATAATTATTTGAAGATTTTCTTGAAAATTCAGTGTAATGAAAGACCTCATATAATGTTTAAAAAGGATCATGATTCTTCGACAAAAGGTAAGTAGGTATCATATTGCGAAAACAAACATAGTTAATAATCTAAACGATGAGTTGAGATGAAATGAATGGGTACACAAGAAGCGAAATCACAATGGCCAAATTGATAATTGAGCTGCAACCATGAGCTATGCCAAATCGCTTGTTAATTGCTTTCATTCGATCACTAATGCCAGCATCGTTATATTGTTTGCCTTCTTCCCTTTCTACTTGGTGTCTTTCGTTCATAATTCTATTCACATAAAGAAAAACGTATGAAAAAAAAAGAAACGGCTATTTCGTCATACTTGGAAGTCCAAGGGCCAACAACTGCAAAATTGATCAGTCCACCCACTATGCCAATCAAGAAAGTAATACGAGCATTTCGATTTGATGCTGTCACAAAACACACGCCACTAAGGACACTTTGCAATGAAAAATAAATAGGAAAAAGTTTGCTTTGGAGCAGACCGAACTGTTGACGTGGTAGCGTTTTGAAAGCAATGGGACCACCAATAAATGAATGCCAAAGGGTGATACCTGTTAGAGAGGCATACGAAAGAAGATGATACGGAATAGGAGAGCTGATAATTGCTGCTGTCATTTTTAAGTATGAATGTTATAGTAAACAGAGATGCAATGAGTCTTCAGCTTGCTCGACCAATCAAAATGAAATATAATTTTTAGCTCTCAATCTTGTGTTTTATGTTAAAACATGATGATCTAAATTTACCTTGTAATTTTAACGTATAATACAATACTTTTAAAGAATTGTGAGCGACATCTACTAGAATATGGAATTTAGCTCTAGTATGTCTATTATACAGACAAATGAGCTTTTCATTGCATAGAATTTAAAATTTAGTTCTATAAAAAAATAATTAATTTGATGTACAACACTGCTGGAGATATTGCTAAAGAAAGGAAGAGTGTAATGGCGAATGTTAATATCGTAGCAGCTGATTATGTAGTTCTCGAATGACGCACCTTCTCGTTCCCAATAGTTGTCTATCGCTATTTTCATTCTGTGAATATTCCACTTGAACAACGTTCTTACTCTTTTCTTTTACTCCTTAAAAATTCAAGTCAAATTTTCATCGTTCGAACAAAGTTTGTTTTTTGGTTTGCTCTATTGTCGGTTTTCCATCGTATGTTTAAGTGACATTCAACAACATCGAGAGAATTTTACTCATTGAATAAAGTCATGTGTAATATTCTGAAGATAGTTATGTAATGCGTTTTCAGATACTTTGAAAAATTCGGTGGGTGAAGCAAAAGAGTGCATTGTCTAGTATTTGTAGATCTTTGCCTCAGGCTACCACTCACTTCTGGTCATTTTGTTTTTTCTCTGTGGATCAATTTGACTTAAAATTAGCAGAAATCAAGAATCTAAGCCAATCGATGTTTAAAATGAATTAAAAATTAATTCTCTCATTGTTTAAAAGTAGTGCTTGCCAAAAGATAAAGTATATTGCTGATTTGTGAAAATTTGATTTTGAAGCTTAAGTGCTTCATAAATCACTGGTATCAGATTTCGAAAACGGGTTGATTCAAATTGTTGAGTATTTTTTCTTTTCAATCAGACAACATTGAACTCAACCAGATAGTATTTGCGACACTTTTATCCTTTTTGCCAACGAAAGATTGAAATCGAAAAAAACACAAAACAAGTTTCTATTTGGTTGTATTCTTGTGTTTTCTCGTTCATATTCTACATTCGAAAAAAAAAATCTTAAAATCTTTCTACATATTTCAATTACTTTTCCAATGATTTGCGAGAATATTACACAACTTGATAACTGTATCCTCATTGTGGTATAATAAATAAGAATAAAAAAGAGATTTTCGATCTAAATTTCTCACATCAGAGTCGAATATATTTTTTTTCTTTTAATACATTGAATGTAGTACCACCGTTTATATGTACAAGTCTTGAACACATTCGGGTAAAAATCCAATATGAAAACCTGAAAGACCTCTGGAAAACTAGCTAAAAAATATTTGTATCATAACTAGGATAGAGTTACTGTAACTTTTTCATAATTTTGAAATGCACATAACCAAGGAAAAAAGCCACTGTGTAGCAGTAAACCTTGTTTTTTTTATCTTCTACAGCTCTTCAAATCTTCAACATGAAATTTAACATGGAAAATTGAGCCCTGCGTAAAAAAAAGCTCGATTTTCTCTAGCTGAAAGGTGAGCCTGATGTTGAATAAAAAGTAGTGAGTCTGTCAAGTATTTGTTGATGAGTCAAGACAATTGGGCAATCAAAAGTTATGTAGAAATCGTATGATATTTTTTTTTTATTGATCTTTTTCTCTTTTTGTCTCCTAGAAAAAAAAACCGACAAAGAGAACTACATGCTATAAACACTTGAATATGTGGAGTATATTTTTGAATATATCTAATTTGTAATAAATAGAATTTTTCATTATATTATTGAAAAACAAAACATTGAACACTTTAAAATGAATGATTTAGAAACGAATACGTCCATGTAAATTTAAAGTAGCATGTGTAGGTGCAATAATAGCTGATCGTTTTGCTCGTTTACAATATAGTTTTCGATACAAATCCGGATATTGATATAGACAAACGAATGGAAACAATAATATAAGAAAATAACATGAAAAGTAAAAGTATTGTTGTGCTTCAAAGCCAACATCACTCGGTAGACCACATAAATGAGCTAGACTAAGGATGTTGAGTGGCATATTGAAAATTAAATTTAACGACGAAATTGATAATAGTTGTATTGTCATTCGACGCTGTTTACGCCATTTCATCGGTTGATGAAGACGGCGTTTCAATAATGAAACATGAATTAAAAGTAACATACTGAAAAAAGCAACGGCTACAGTAGGTGCTATATTATTGGCACCAAATTCCCACATACCAAGTAAACCATAAGACTGATAACATGGATATGCATTACATATGGGTAATGTATAATCATAGATATTTTCACAAGGTGGCATAAAAATAACAACAATATAGAAGATACCAGTATAAAGAATAATAGTAATCAAAGGAAGATAATGTACAAGAAAACGTTTTCGACTAGTCGACATCAATCGATCATGAAATATTAACAAATAACGTTCGATAGCAGCCCAACCCATCAGAAGTGTACCACCATTATAAAAGCCAAATGCAGCAAGCCACCAAATAAGACATGTTGCAGGTGTCGATGGAAAGACTATACCTGCATGAGTAATAAATGTTAGATATAATGGAATATCAATAAGTTGACCAGCTAGTCCAAATACGAGTAGAATAATAATAATATGATTATTTATTTCACGTCGTAATGTTCGATTTAGAATAAGATGAAAGAGTAGAAAGAATGTACATGTAACAGATGGAATATCAAGTAGAATAAGAATCCAAAAACGAACGAAACGTGGCAGAGATATTTCTGAACTTTCAAATGAATCTCCATCCGTTTGAGTGAGATTATCGATACTCTTGATTGTATCCGATTTTTGAAAAAAAGTTACCGTTCTCAACATTTAGAACAAATTGCAATAGAAAAATTCTACAACGAAGATAAATAAATGGATCAATGACAACCTAAGACTTATACGAATAAAAAATTCAGTTTATTTTTTGTGTCATTCTCTTCTTTCTGTTAACTAGTAGAATTAATTTAATACATTATTCCAAACATCTTCAATGTCTCGATAGGAAGTCATATTTCATCACCTTATTTACAAATTAAATACTGACGAACAGCTGTTCTCATATGTGTGTATATTAGCATTTCCATTCATTTCATTGATACTTAGGGCAGTCTCAAAGTAGTAGTAGTAGTGACACTTCAATACCGTAAATTAATCTGTAGAAAAGAGTATTTTTACATTCAGGGATGGTAAAAATAATACTCTATTTTTCTGTGATATGTGATTATTCGTCAATTAAAAGTATAAAAATAAGACTTTTGACAAAGAGCTGTAGCTTGTAGTATGTAACAGTTACATTAATACTTATTTCAAAAAAAGGCATGTGAGTAATTTTTTTAAATAACTTTTGATGAAAACACGGTGGAGAAGGGCGAATTTCACAGTTGAAAAATGGAGATAAAGATACATCAAAACATATATTGTAGTGTTTTCTAATATGATTACCTCAGGTCGATATTATCCAGCCTGAAACGATGAAAAATTGGTGCCGTTTTTTTATCAGTTTAAGGGCCTTAATCCATCATATCAGAGTAGACAACATGTTTCGATGGAATAAAACGATTCTTTTTCATTACTCAAATTGCACTCTAGGTAGTGCTCTAATTTTACTTTTATGTGTTATACGACGTATTTCATTATATAAATAGCATTCCGGCATATGAATTTATCTTCTAAAGCTACATCCACCATAGATATATGAAAAAAGGATGAACACATTTGCAATAATCCTAACTAGTGTGCATGAAAGTATCATAAAACATTTTTTTGATGAAGTAACTCATCGCTTAGAACAAAACTATACTTCCAAGGATACATCTTTTCAACAAGTAGCTCTCTAATCTCCTTGCTAGTCATCTAAAAGACCAATGAATGGATTCTATTATCTAAAAAACTTACCTATGAAAAAAAATGACAAACCATGAATATGCAACGATGTACCCATTTACTCGATAACTCAATATTAATATCATGTTAATCAACATGTGGCAAGTCATAGAGATGTTTTTGTAGAGAGTACATCATATTATCAAATAGATCTCAAGAAAATTTATGCATGGATGTTTAAACTAGCTCAAAAAAGTGAATGGAAACTTCATATTAACAAAAAATAAAATAAAATATATAAAAAAAACATTAAAATGCATTTAAATCTCAGCAAAATACTTTGGTGAAACATTAGAAATTGGTCCTACTAGAAATGGTAGATAAGATCGTTAAGGTTTATCCACTAAACATCCTTAGAAACTACTTAATGATGTTTTTTAAAATACTTTTTTGATTGTTGATGTAAACGAATTGAAAATGGGGTAAAAATCGGCGCTCATAACAATGATTGTTTCCACTAGACCGTAAATAATCATTGGAACGACAACCATTTTTCACCATTTTCGAGTCATTTTATCCGACCTGAATCTCAACTTTGTAATAAACTAGCTAAGTGTCAAAAAAATATATCTGTCGAACTATATTTAAACTATAGCCTCATCTACGTTTCATTACCATGATATTTAAAAAACAAAATTGAGAATGAGAAAGCTTTTCAAACGGAGGTTAACTTCTCAAGGATGTTTTAGATTGTACTCTCTCTGTCATAATTGACTAAGCTACTAAAAAATTACGAGTTTTGTTTCATGATAATCATCATTCTCGTTTTCATATTCAGCTGGCTCTCATCATCATTATTATGATAACAATAAATTCTATCAAACAAAAGTGCTAATTTAAACATCGCAAGAATTGAGAAAACAGTATCCTTCCAAATCAAAAACAGAAAACACAAATGTTAATGACAAGAAATGACACACAACTGAAATTTTAGAATAAAATAGCTGCAATAACTGATGAGTGAGAGAATTCAACACAAGAGAACTGAGTTCAATAAATTAGGTTTTGATCTCTAAATAACGAAGAAAACATTGTCTTCAGATTAATTTTAAAAATACTAGAGGACATAAATCTTTTCTTACGACTATAGGCACTATGTAATATTAGTTCACAGAGTTGATACAAACATTATTGCTGTAGTAGGCAAAATTATAAGAAAATCGCCTGCTTTGGGGATTGCATGCATTTATCTGCATGCTCATTATGTAGAAAAGACTTTTGTTGTTATGAATAGTTGTTTCACTGATATCATCAAGTTGAATGTTTTTATACGATAATCACGAAACTGAGCTGTCGTTCTCTGTGTCAGAAAACCTATGACCGTCCACACATACTAAATTTCGACAGAAAAAAATGTAGAGACAAATTCAAATCATTATTTGTTTCGATATTAGTAGTTTCTCTATTAAAAAGAAAGGGCTGATCAAATTTTGACATTGTGTCATTTTAAAGAAAAAAATATCCTCTAGAAGTGTTGAAATCCGTTATTCTAGTTGTTCTTATTAAGGTACATGGAAAAAAATTTATGTTTTGATCTGAAGCATTCGATTGTATGAGAAATCAAGCTAATTATTGAAGATTTGACTACTAGGAACCTTCACATCGTTTTCACGTCTTCGACAAAGAGGCAAAATATTTCAGTTTATCTTCTGTATATTGCTTGTATTACATGGTTGAATTTAAAATAAAAAATGATGTCGCTTACCGTTACTATATGAATTCATGATGTAAAAATCAAATATGTCCAGTATGATTTCTCTTGTTGATTTTAACTTTTTAATCGTATGTCGCTAATACAGTGGAGCTGATATTGGATCGATTATGGGAATAGATTATGTGAATGTTCAATATAACAATTGCTTGCATGGTTAAATTTGAGTGAAGTCATTGCAATTTGGATATACAGAATGGATCAAAAATGACCCAATCGTGTTGAATGACATAAAAATTGGACTTGTTTTTGGTTTTTCGCAATTAGATGATTATTTATTTATATAAAACTAGACATGCCTCACTATTAGGAGTTGTTTTTAGAAAAAGAATTATATTTCAAAACAATAAAAGATGACCCAGAAGTTCTTACTCGATTTTAATGTTAAATTTTTCTATAGAAAAATAAATGTTCGGAAATTTATCTCTAGGATGAAAAGACGGAATGAAACATGCTTTACAAAATGACATTTGATTGAGACCGTTACCTCATATAATT